CATCATCTCTTAAAAGATTAATTTAATAATTTATTTGATTATATCGCCATCTTTCGAAAAAGTTTAATTATTTAATTTAGGATTTCTTGGTCCGTCTAACTTGAAAATTATCGACGAATTTTCATTGGATTATATTTTTCTCCTCATTATTTTATACCTGTCTGTTCAGTTTATCAATGGTATTTTATCATGTTTTAGTTCATAAGCTATTTATTTAATCAGTTGTCAAACCGCTTTCACCTTCATCAATTGCCGTTTCATGTTTTCTTTTCCAGCGCCACTGTGTGGTGATCCAGAGGGGGAATGCCCACTGTGTCCTTCGTTCCTGCTCGGCATCTCAGGAGTTAGAGATTAATAGCCATTAAAAGTTTGTTGTTTTATGTACACACACACACACACACACACACACACACACACACACACACACACATATATATATATATATATATATATATATATATATATATATATATATATGTGTGTGTGTGTGTGTGTGTGTGTGTGTGTGTGTGTGTAAATCACGAAAATGTGATGAAAAATGTGACAGTGCCAGACCACGGAGGAAGAATTGAAACAGGAATTTCCTTAAGTACCTTCGTATATTAATACATCTTCAGAAGGAATCGTATTACTTCTGAAGATGTATATATATTCTGAAAATAGTATATATATATATATATAGGAGGGAAATATATATATTCCTCCTATATATATATAGAAGCAATGTTCAACTGAGATTACTTTATAAAACGCATTGAAATCACCAGAGAAACTTTCCATTGCTTGCACTCGGAGCAGGACAACCACTACTATCATGGGGCCTACGTTAGGGAGCAATAAGGAAGCAGCTGTTCTGGAGACAACCACTCCAACCACTCGACGAAGGCAAACAATAAACCATCCTTAATGATAGCTAATTTAGACACACGAATTGCACACTTTGTTATAATGGCGAAATTAGAATGTCTTTGGAATTATTAAAGAGCCTTTATTTTCGAGTGCGAAGCAAAGGGGGAGTAGTTATTTAAAGCCTAATAATTACTTCTGCAGACATTAGTTAATTTTTCAACGTTGGCTCTTAGAAGATTAACAATAAATGTTGATATAATTATCGATGATAAATGTTGAGGTTCTGGACGATAAGGTCTAAACATAAGTCTTCATCATTTTTCTCTCTTGCAAGTCTTAATAATGCCTTGGGATCACTGGTTCAGCTGGTGGCTGACTTTCTTGTGAGAAAGTTGCTCATGTAGTATGTCAGACTAGTGTGTGTGTGTCAGATTATGTTACTTCAGACGAATGTATTCTGAGTGTTGCTGTCTTCTACTGGGTGTTGCTGTGATCATCTGTCTACTGGGTGTTGCTGTGATCATCTGTCTACTGGGTGTTGCTGTGATCATCTGTCTACTGGGTGTTGCTGTGATCATCTGTCTACTGGGTGTTGCTGTGATCATCTGTCTACTGGGTGTTGCTGTGATCATCTGTCTACTGGGTGTTGCTGTGATCATCTGTCTACTGGGTGTGGCTGTGAAGCTCTGCCTAGAGTGTGTCGTTGTGGGGAACTGTCTATAGATGTGGCTGTGAGGATTCAGCTTATGCTGAATTGATAGTATTGTGGTGTTCAAGTGAGTTATTTTTGTTTTTGTCAATGCATGAGCCTATATCAGTCACTACAGGTGCTTCATGAGCCTATATCAGTCATTACAGGTGCTTCATGAACCTATATCAGTCATTACAGGTGCTTCATGAGCCTATATCAGTCATTACAGGTGCTTCATGAACCTATATCAGTCACTACAGGTGGTACATGAGCCTATATCAGTCATAACAGGTGCTACATGAGCCTATATCAGTCATTACAGGTGCTACATGAGCCTATATCAGTCATAACAGGTGCTACATGAGCCTATATCAGTCACTACAGGTGCTACATGAGCCTATATCAGTCATTACAGGTGCTACATGAGCCTATATCAGTCATTACAGGTGCTTCATGAGCCTATATCAGTCATTACAGGTACTTCATGAGCCTATATCAGTCATTACAGGTGCTTCATGAGCCTATATCAGTCATTACAGGTACTTCATGAGCCTATATCAGTCATTACAGGTGCTTCATGAGCCTATATCAGTCATTACAGGTGCTTCATGAGCCTATATCAGTCATTACAGGTACTTCATGAGCCTATATCAGTCATTACAGGTGCTTCATGAGCCTATATCAGTCATTACAGGTGCTTCATGAGCCTATATCAGTCATTACAGGTGCTTCATGAGCCTATATCAGTCATTACAGGTGCTTCATGAGCTTATATCAGGCATTACCAGGAGATGCATTTATGTAACAAAAATACATCTTGAACAACTGCCTCTTCCTGTCAAAGGATTTAATACCAATATAGTTCCGTAGATTTAGCAAACTATCTACGAATCACAGAGAAGTCAATATACATAATGTGGATGGCGGATGTAGACCCGAGATGAAGTAGAAGTAGAAGTAGACTATTATGGGGAAAAGACGTCCTGGGGTACAGAGATTGATCTTGAACTACACAGAATAAAAAGTATAATAATAATAATAATAACAAAAACAGCAACAAGAACAGCAATAGTGTTGTACTTACAATGTCTACAAAAGGAACATGTTACAGTGGTTACAGAGTAGGTACAGTAGTTATGTATCACCTAAAGACTGTAATTACTCACATGATGTGAGCGTTTCTTCAGCCTGGTGTTATTCTCTCCCCCCTCCCCCCCTACCCCCCCAAACCATCTCACCCGGCGGGAGATATTTAAATAAATATCCCTCCCCCCAGAGAATATTTCCTTCAGCCCATATTCCCTGAATTTGCCACTTGGTTAAAAAATACAACTGATAATTATACAAAATACAATAAATACAGCCTCTCCCCCCCCAAAAGGAACCTAAGAAACCCACGTCCCCTATCGAGGCAGAGGCGTAGACAAACGTTAATATTACGGTACTGTACATTTTATACTCATACGTCGCATTTCTAACGGATTAGCTTGGATTTCGTAAAAATTACGTCGTGAGAGAACTGCGTGATTTAACGCCAGTGAGCCCTTGTGTGTACGTCCACCCCCCCCCCTCCCCCCTCCCCCCTCACACCTCGAGGAGTAACTTGAGTGACTGAATGACTGGCAGAGAGAGAGAGAGAGAGAGAGAGAGAGAGAGAGAGAGAGAGAGAGAGAGAGAGAGAGAGAGAGAGAGAGAGAGAGAGAGAGAGAGAGAGAGAGAGATAAAGGCAGACAGTGGGTGCTCTATACGAGGAAAAGACGCCAAACAAACCGCGTTCAAGTGAGAGAGAGTTCAAACTAACGGGGGTCTGTAATGTAATGACAGGTCTTGCCACCAAATAAGAAAAATACGCCAATGTCCTTATTTCATTCCCCAGCGTCCGTTTTCCTAATGGATCGTTTTCTTGGCGATCACTTGCTATACTTTGTGTTAACAATAATTCTGATTTACCTTTCAAATGTTCTGAGAACGTCCGTCACCGAGGTGGAGGTAGTGACGTTGCGTTGGTCCAGCGAGCAACCGCACGCACACGCACACGGTGAGCGATGCGCACGCAACCAACGCATGGGGGAGAAGGTTGTGCACTGCGCCCCCCCCCCCTTTGCATTTCCTGCAGATTAATGCTAAGACCTTGACAATTAACCCTTATCTTATTTTTAGGGGGGGGGGGTTTAGTTTATCTAAGAGAAAGATAACATTAATAACAAAAGCAAACAATGATATCTACGGCTTCTGTTTTGTTGTGTGTCTGTGGGGGAGGGCTGGGGGGGACGGGGTAAGGACTCTACAAGACGAGAGAAGGATAACAGTGATAACAAAAGCAACAATGGCTTCTACAGAACAAAACAAGGACTCACAGAAGCAATTTCCCCGTGAACTTTACACTTGCGGGTTGGGCGCTAGTGGGCGAAAGGTTCTTCACCACATCTGGAATTCCATTGTTTGAGGTGTCGTGGAGGTAATTAAGAAGAGGTGAAGGTGACACGCTTTTCTGAATATATATATATATATATATATATATATATATATATATATATATATATATATATATATATATATATATATGCGAACAAGCCTGAATGGTCCCCAGGACAATATGCAACTGAAAACTCACACCCCAGAAGTGACTCGAACCCATACTCCCAGGAGCAACGCAACTGGTATGTACAAGACGCCTTAATCCACGTTAATAGTTATATATATATATATATATATATATATATATATATATATATATATATATATATATATATATATACAGTGCCTCCATTTCTATTAACCTACTACTTCATAAACCCTGGGGCCAGATTCACGAAGCAGTTACGCAAGTACTGACGAACGTGTACATCTTTCCTCAATCTTTGACGGCTTTGGTTACATTTATGAAACAGTTTACAAGCATGAAAACTTCCCAATCAACTGTTGCTATTGTTATAAACAGCCTCCTGGTGCTTCGCAGCTCATTCACTGTTTAATAATTGTAAACAAAGTCGCCAAAGATTGAGAAAAGATGGACAGGTTCGTAAGTGCTTGCGTAACTGTTTCGTGAATCTGGGCTCAGGTTAGCCATCCTGGGCAAAACAAAGCTTTACTCCTTGTTAAAAACAGCTTTAACCCAGTTTTGTTGTTTACTACAATAATAGTAATACTAACACTATTATCACTGTGTTCCAAGTACAGGAAATGAAGTCGTATAAAGTGAAGAGTATAAAGTTATAAAGTTCCATGTAGAGAGATGAGCACGAAGGTACTCCAGGGATACCTTCAACCAACACACGTACGCAGGCACACACACACACACACACACACACACACACACACACACACACACACACACACACACACACACACACACACACTCCTCCATCTCCACCACCTTCCATTCTGTTTTCCTTGGCTTTACTTCCACCATCCATACCTGCTCCTCGACCTTCCATACCTGCCCCTCGACCATCCATACCTGCTCCTCGACCTTCCATACCTGCTCCTGGACCTTCCATACCTGCTCCTCGACTTTCCATACCTGCTCCTCGACCTTCCATACCTGCCCCTCGACCATCCATACCTGCTCCTCGACCATCCATACCTGCTCCTCGACCATCCATTCCTGCTCCTCGACCATCCATACCTGCTCCTCGACCATCCATACCTGCTCCTCGACCATCCATACCTGCTCCTCGACCATCCATACCTGCTCCTCGACCTTCCATACCTGCTCCTCGACCATCCATACCTGCTCCTCGACCATCCATACCTGCTCCTCGACCATCCATACCTGCTCCTCGACCATCCATACCTGCTCCTTGACCTTCTATACTTCCTCCTCCACCTTGTATACCTCATCTTCAATTGCTAGTCCTTCTACTCCTCATCCACAACACACGGCATGCCAGGTCCCCCTTACCCGTAGTCACTGTAAAGTGTAATCACCAGTACTGCTACTACCACCATCACTACCACCACAACTACTGGATAATCACCACCATCGATGCTGCCATCTACCACCACTATTCCCCCCCCCCCCCCATCACCACACAAGTGGAAGATGGTAACCCATGAGTCGGGCTGTAAGGAAATACTAGTGCATCAGTAAGGGAATATACTACAAGAAGAAGTTGTGGAAGCCACCTCCACTTCCTCCTTCTTCAACTTTAAGTCCACATTCGCTACGTCTGAATGGCTACGTTATATGACGGTCAGCAGGCGGGAGTCTAGAAGAGTTAGATCCCAGTAGAATGCAGGTCGGCGTTCAATCCCCCTTTCTTCCCCCCCCCACCGACCGTTCAAGTGGTTGGGCACCATTCTCCCCTCCCCCCCCCGCCCCCCCAACGTCCCATGCCAAATCCTAATCCCTTTCCCAGTGCTATATAGTCGTAATGGCTTGGTACTTCCCCCTGATAATGTCTTTCCCATCCCTTAATAACAACACTGAAGTCTGCCTGTATGAGGTCTGCCCCCCCCCCCCCCAACCAACCATACTAGCAGGCTAGCAAACATAACATAATGCAAATAGCTTTACATTCACGGCTCATTTTAATACACCTTCACGTAATTACTAGCAGATCAGAGGAAAATACGCTAATAGATCATTAGACACATTTAAGTATACTATTTTTTGTATCCCGCCGGCTGCAAGTGATTTATTTTTGGTTACATTATTTTGGTATAATTATAGAAATCAGGCAATTTTCTCGTATACCTTTGACAGGGAAATCGTGGAGGCTTTTATTACTCCTTTATTTAGAATTCCTCGTACTTAATCCCTAAGGTAAAGCATAACTTTAGAGACAAAGGGTCGTCCTTCATTCAGGGTGGGCAGGGGGAGGGAGGGTAGGTGATAGGGAGGGAAGGAGGGAGGGAGAGAGCTGAGGGAGGGGGGGGGGGGGAGAGAATGGGGTGAAAGGGGAGGTAATATTGTGTCTGCGTCTAGGGAGACAATAGATTGCATTGTACCCCCACCGTGCTCAGTTATTCGCAATGGCGAATCGGACACCCTCACAAACCTCCCCCTCCCTCCCTCCTCTTCCTCTACACACACACATTAACACACACACACACACACACACACACACACACACACACACACACACACACACACACACACACACACACACACACACACACACAACTAGGTGAGTACACATGTATAGACATAGACGCAACAGTTATTGTGAAGAGCAATAGAACGATGTTGAAAACTACAGACACATACATGAATCACAGATATGCTAAAATAAGGAACTTATTCAGGATGTAAATAAATTCAATTTATTAAATGAGGATCTTGTCGACGCCAATTAAATTCACAGTTTAAAAGGTAAACATGATAAGAAACACGACTGAAAGCGCCAGTGAGTGCACACTTACAACAACAACACGGCGTCACAATGCAACCAGTTCTCGCACTTTCGTACAGTCAATATTGACTTATTAAATAAGTGCATATGTGACATACTAATTTATTGAGAATATTTTAGTTTACCTTGAAAAGCTTCATAGAAAACACCGACCTTACCTAACCTTCTTAGTATGTTAAGATAAGCATCTTATTGCTTTGTAATTACAATTATTACTTAACCTATACCTATAATAGGTTAAGTAATAATTGTTTTACGCAATTATTACAATGACACCATCACAACTGCGCCACATCCTAACCAACACCCGAGCTACGCAGACTTTAGCACCAGGATATCAACACCACCATATATAAAGCATCAACCAAGAAGAACATCAAAATCCAACACCTACACGCCAGAAGAACAAACATAACAGAAGCACTATATGTCAACTTCCTACACACGAGCATTGCCTCCCATAACTATACATCAGCACGGGATAGAAATAGCCTAAGCTACTCTATCTCTTTGAGATGTATTTTTTTCTTGTCTCAATAAACATATTTGAACTTGATCAGCACTGACCTCGACAGAACCATTACACAGCGACCTACACCACATCAACAGAACATCACCAGCACACTCAGCTCAACAGTAACATTAGTAACATCACCAAACAGCTTCCCAAACATCTGAACAGCGCTCCGTAACACGCACAAGCGACAACACATGAAGTTTACAAGTGTTATTTACATTTACAGTACAGGAGTGTTGCACATAGAAGTTAGTGGATTTACAAATAAGGTAACTGAATTAAAGCAAAACGTTCTAAACTACTGCAGATCAAGTATGCAAAGAAAGTCGTCTTTCCCAGAAACTACCAGATGGTGAGAATTGAATAACAAACCAAGGAATGACCTTGTTGAATGGCCTTTAACTTTATGAGGGGGAAAATTCGTGATGAAAAAGCTAATGTTGGTAAACTCAGTTATATGTAGCGCATCTAACACACTTCGATTATAATAATGTGTGATGTCTTGGACAGTCTGACATCAAACACGGTGATATCTTCGTTTCGTCTCATGCACTGACTGATCAGTCGTATAAGACCATCCGCTAACCTCATTATGTCTGACGTCTTGATAAGTCTGACGCGCCCAAGAACGCCCATACATCTTTGACACTGTGCCAATAGTGAGCCAGACAGGTAGATGAGTGATGCGTGCCACCGCTGTGTTCCTTATACTCTGTGCGGTGTTCCGTTCCGGATCAATAAATATTGTGTTTGGTATTCGGCGATTGATATACCCTTTCGTGTTGTGCTTAGCGGTCACAAGTGTTTCTTTTGTGATCGAGGAGCCAGCTGTGTGCGAGAGCCTTCATGTGATCGGTTGAGTTGATTATTCGTGTCATTCCATTCATTCCATTCCATCATTCCATGACCACAGTCGAAGTCATTCCATTCGATATTGCGTCACTTCGTCTCATAATGTGTCGTTATTACTCTTAATGTTGTGTTCAGTACTTTACTTCCTCTTTAGTAATGCTTTTAATACACAGATAGTAATGACACTAAAGTGATGTATCAGTGAGGAAATCCGTATGAGCCGTGATGAGGATTCGAACGTATGTGGTGAGTGTTCCCTCACCACATAGGTTCGTGGCCTGGTTGTCTGGGACACGTGCGTGGGACTACCCATCCCGTAGGTTCGAATCCTCATCACGGATCCTACGGATTTTATCAATGTTCTTAATATTCTGATCTGTATAACGTCTTTTTTCATTCTCCCTTTCCAAAATCCAGCTCCGTGAACTACGCAAAGCACGGTTTCCTGTCTTTTTGCAAGCGTTCCACTATGTTCCATGTGGTGGTAGTGTTCCACTATGTTCCATGTGGTGGTAGTGTTCCACTATGTTCCATGTGGTGGTAGTGTTCCACTATGTTCCATGTGGTGGTAGTGTTTCACTACGTTCCATGTGGTGGTAGTGTTCCACTACGTTCCATGTGGTGGTAGTGTTCTACTATGTTCCATGTGGTAGTAGTGTTCCACTACGTTCCATGTGGTGGTAGTGTTCTACTATGTTCCATGTGGTGGTAGTGTTCCACTACGTTCCATGTGGTGGTAGTGTTCTACTATGTTCCATGTGGTAGTAGTGTTCCACTACGTTCCATGTGGTGGTAGTGTTCCACTACGTTCCATGTGGTGGTAGTGTTCCACTACGTTCCATGCGGTCCATACGGCGTTCCGCGCCGTTCCGTTGTGTACCGGCCGTAGCGTTCCGGCGCACGGCTCCTGGGGGAAGAACCACCTTGATAATATCGAGTTTCTTACCTCACTCTAGTAGGACTAATACGTGGTATGGCTTCCATGTTGTTGTTGTTGTTGTGTGCGTGTGTAATTACCTAAGTGTAGTTACAGGATGAGAGCTATACGCTCGTGGTGTCCCGTCTTCCCAGCACTCTTTGTCATATAACACTTTGAAACTACTGACGGTCTTGGCCTCCACCACCTTCTCACCTAACTTGTTCCAACCGTCTACCACTCTGTTTCGAAAGTGAATTTTCTTATATTTCTTCGGCATCTGTGTTTAGCTAGTTTAAATCTATGTGTGTGTGTGTGTGTGTGTGTGTGTGTGTGTGTGTGTGTGTGTATGTGTGTGTGTGTGTGTGCATCAATGTCCTCTCCCCTCGAACGAGTGCCTGTGTGAGCACATACATCAGAGCACTAATACACACTCACCTCCTTCCATTCCCCCACTCATAACTAATATACAACTTAACTATAGCGATAATCTTGTGATAAAATCTTAATCAAATGTTGAGATTATGTTGTTGTTAAATGTTAATAAAAACGTTGGTGTTACGTTGATAAAACGTCGTGATAACGTTGACAAAACGTTGCAACCACGTTGATAAAACGTGATTACGTTGATAAACCGGTCATATTACGTTGATAAAACGTTCATATTACGTTGATAAAACGTTCATATTACGTTAATAAAACGTTGTGATTACGTTGATAAAACGTTGCGATTACGTTGATAAAACGTTCAGATTACGTTGATAAAACTATGTTTATGCCGGGGGAGCTGATCCTAGACCCCTGACAGTCATGTGGGTTAAAACATGTAGAACAATTGGTCACCGGCCTTGATGCTGAAAGTAACTTACGCTAAAACTTACTTAAGTAACTAAACTAAAAGTAACTTACGATAAAAAAGTTATCACAGTATCATCTTGCTGATAACGACCAGGATGTCTAGGCCATCATGGACGATACCTCTTAAAGCGTAGCCCATGGCGCAGGTGGGAGGCAGGTTCGATACCTTTGACCTTAATCCGCTGGACACGTGCGCATCTGGAGGTTGGCGGGCAGGATTCAACGCATAGCCCTCGCATCAACACATATAGGCCCCGCATTAACACATATGCCCTGCATCAACGCATATCCCAC